CAGCCAGTGAGGTCAGTCTTCCTAGTCTTGTAACCCTGGGGCCAGCTTTCCTGCCTATAGTAGGAAAGGGGTGTGTGTGTAGGGGGTCATCTCTCCCGCCACCACACCACTGCATGGCAGACAGGTAGTGGGGCTAGCTCTCCCATTCTCACACCTTCAGGGAGAGCTCATCCACACCCCTGCCAACAGGGTCAGCCCTACTGTGCTGCTCAGGTGAGGTGCAGGGTCAATTCTCCCAGTGCTGCAGCTGGTGAGGGGCGGGGCCAGTTCTCCCTAGAGCTGAAGCCAGGGAGAGGCAGGGTCACCTCTGTGCAGTCCTGTGCTCACTGCCCTCAGTGGCCACAGGAGCCGTAGACCCCATCACAGATTGCAGCTGTGGAAGGGCCCCTGACCCAGACGTGGACCTTGGCAGCAGCCCAGGCCTTGGTGGCACTGAGGCCCAGGGTGACAGCACAGGCCACTCAGATCAGTATGGCCCCAGCAGCAGCATGACATCCGGACATTAATATGGCTTTAGGTGGTGGCCCAGACCCCTGGCATCCACGTGGTCCTTGGGGTGACATGGGTCGTGGATATCAACACAGACCCTGGTTGCCTGAACCAACACAGACCCAGAAATGGTCCTTGACAGCAGCCGGGGCCCGGTGTCACCATGGATGACCACTTTCTAATTGACTTCTTTTATCCACCCCACATTGCTTTCTGGTGGAAGACACTGGTGGGAGTCAAACGAAAATGTACGTCAGCGTAAGACATAGAGTGAGACCATGAGGATGGGTTTGGGTGCAGCAGCGATAAGACGGGTGACGGAACAGGGGGGTGGAAGTGGCCCGTCTTGTTTAGAGAGACTCAGCAGGGAGGGCATCTCTGAGTGATGAGAAGGGCCTAATTACAGTTGGGTCTGGAGAGGAGACAGCAGCAGCGAAGGTCTGGGACATGGAGGGCGTGCGTGCGTGCGTCTAGGCAATGCGGAGGAGGAGGAGGAATGCAACAGAGGGCTGAGGAGTCACAGAGATCAAACGGTTAGGACCCCTGGTTCAGGGGGAGAACACATTGTTCTAAGATGCAGTGGGAAATCCTGCGCAGCACTGAACACTAGCTTCTGCCTTTTGCTTTAAACAATTGGCTGCTGTGTGGAGAACAGATCTTAGAGGAGGTGAGAGAGGGTGAAGATGGTTCCAGCCAAAGAGAAACCTTAAGCTTTATAGAAAGATATTAAATCTAACCTCAAGAGATCAGCTTAAATTTGAAAGACAACAGTTAACTAAAGAATTAAAACCATGGCAAGCTTTGACTTCCTGAAGTTGAGAGATT